AGCTCCTATTGAATAATCTACATAATACCACCAAGAGTTTGCAGCTGCTGCTTTGTGCTGCATGTAGCTGCTGCCAGGATTTCGGGATGTGGCGGGCTTTTGCATGTTGAATTTCCTGGCGATTACCTCCGTCGGATTCGCTTTCGGTGGGAGGCGCGCTTTCTGCGCCTGACGCAGAATCGGACTCGATATTTTCGTCTTCTACGCGTCTGCGTTTGGGAGCAACGGAGGAAGTAAAGGCCTTCTCCCCCTTGCCTCTTGAACTCTTTGAGCCTCCCGTTCTGCCACTCCAGCGAGAAGAATGCAAACGAGAAAACCGGGGGGCCCCGTTAGCTCGGCGTTCGGGCATGACGGCAATGGGGAAGGTGATATGGGGAAAAACTGAGCTAATAACAAGCAAATTTACGTTCTAAGAAAGGAAACAAAAGCTATTTTTTTACGCTCGAAAAAACGCAAACTGCGGACCTATTTCAGGTTCTATTCACCAAAAAAGAAACAGAAAAGCCACAGTATGCATGGTTTCAATCACCGCTCCCCCAGGTAGTTGCAAAAAACTGCGCATGCAGCGAATCGTTCTGTTTGCTTCAACCCTCTGAAAAACCTTTAATCTATTATATTATTTTAACCTATTATGATCAGCTGCTAACTTGAAAGTTATCGGAGGCATATTAGCGGACTACAGACTACGGGTTTCCCCAGCTGCCTAACACCGCCTTGCGGCACCCCACAGTCGCTCACAGTCCAAGTCCTTTTATCGCCTTCCTATATTCTTTAGTTCTAAATGCAAAGTACTTGCATCTGTTTGAACACGGATTGTTGGAAAGCACGTTTGTTTATCTTTGCTCTATTATATGCTGGTGCGAAGCGACGCAGACACGGCGGCATATATAGTGCGTATATATATATATATATATATATATATATATATATATATATATGGCACCACTGCTTGCAAGCAGCCTGGGAACTGCGGGGCAAGTACTTGTTTAATATTTGCATACAGTAATAGTGCCCGCACCAGAAGTACAGCGAAGATAACCGACTAGGGACAAAGAATTAAAATAGGGGTTTCATAAACCACACAAGAAGCAGATGGGATCCCCTCCATTCAACAGGCATCATCTGAACAGCCCAAGTGCCTAGGGCTATTGCGGAGAGGATAGGAGGCAGCGTGCCTTGAATTACATCCCATCTTGCTACAACCAGCGCTGCAAGGCAGACCTGCATGCAAGCGCAACCGAACACCTGTTTCTACATGCACGAACACTATGAAAGATTACTGAACGCCTACTGAACCATTTGGAGACAGCCTGCACGTAAGTAGCACCACACGCACTAGCTTCGGACGGGCCATTCCAGAGCTGCACCGCTACTCTCTTCCAAGTATCACAAGTCGTGGAGCCGCAGCAGCAGGAACGGTGGCAGAAGCAGCGGCAGTTCCTGGTGCTGTACCTTACTCTTCTGCTTCCGGTTTGCAGGAGCTGCTGTCCTATGCCAGTTTGAAGATAGGCCAGCAGCAACAGCAAGAAGGCGGCAGCAACACCAGACCTTCCGTCAGCTGAAAAGCCTCGGGATGAAATGTCTCCATAGCATGACGGCACTGGTGCTGCATCAACCCCAGACTGCACATCTTGTGGTGATGCAACACCAGCAGCAACAGTGGCTGCTGCTGGCCAGCATCAGCAAACAAACGAAGCAAAACAGCATCCAGCAGCAACTTAGAGCCTAACAGTAATGCAAAAGCAACAGGGGATCGAAGAGCAAGCGAGCGACTCAACAGCAAATGACCCAGCAGCAAGAGTACCAGCACCGAAGTATGCTGCAATGAGATACACCAGGAGGAGTCGATGGAACCGCTGAACCAACAGCACTCGCAGCATCAAATGACACAGGAGCCATCCTCTCGGTCCAGCCGCCCAGCCGGGGCATCAGGGCGTGTGTTGCTTGAGTGAGACGTCGGGACAGATGTAGCATGCTTGTGCCCGCAGGTACAACACATACTTCTTGCACGCAGGCTGCCTCCTAGGGACCCGGGGAAAGGCCAGCACCTGTTTACTGTGTTGATGCATGCAGGAAAAGAGGGAGTGGTTGTGCTGCAACTGGGAATTAAAGTCGAACTAGTAAAAGCAAGGTGCGTTGCAAGTTCTGGCAGCCCGCCTCCTCTCGCACCTTTCCCACTTCCTTAGGCCGCTGAGCTCATGGCGCCATGGGGTGGAGGGGAGGCCAGTGGCTTCTTGTGGTCCCGGCCGCCCTCCGCTACGACCGAGGACAGCACTCACAGTTTCGTTGCGTATGCCAAGGACAGCTGGAAACTCGAAGGCATGCTAGATGATATTTTTAAACCGCTATCTAGAATGTTTTGACTCTACTTCAGCTGGAGACGGTGTACTGCCAAGTTCCAGGATGTTCATTGCTCGGATGACCTTTCTTGCTCTGTATGCCCCTTACGCTAAACCCTAGACTTCAGAAGGTACCTAGTTAACCGTAAACACTTAAGCACACTCCCAGTAAATTTACAACTGCAGTTAACAGCAACTAACGTGATCTGTGGGCAAACAACCGGTAATGCTAACGATGGGCTTCAGCGCGCCGTGCAGAAGCCCACGCATTATATGGAACCAAGTGTTCTTCAAAGTTCCGCCCTCTCCCGAGGGATCAATGTAGTAAGCTTAATCACTAGACTAAACATGGGAAGCTACACGAGTCAAAAGAAGTTCGGCGAAATTGTACGCTTGCCTTCTGGAACGTGGCATCGCTCGGGCAAGTGATCGCCCCCACGCTCACCGACGACAGAGGGGCGAAGCAACGCCCTAATGCTTTGTTAGGGCGCCAGCGAGCGTTTGGTTGTTTCATCCTGTTTACCATACCATTTCTATCAAATCTTCACATACTAGATCTTTTCAGTGCTGCACTTATTTAGATGGTGGTGAGTTCTGCAACGCCACCCCTGGCAGATTCTGGCCTGAAGCAAGTAGTTTCTCAGTTGAGTGGGGCTGGCGCAACGTGCTATTTCCCATTCTCTACAGATGCGCCGTTTTATTTTTTTGTAGAGTGTCTCTGAACCTTTGAAAGCTCTTTTGCTTCCCTTCTGGTAATATCCGTGCTCCATTCCCTTGACGAGAGTCCGACGTGCTGAAGCCTTTGAACAATTCCAGGGGGCTATGCAATATGGAGCACGTGAAATTTCCAGAATTGATAAAACCCGTCAATGAAACTATATCATCTGGCATGCCAGCGCTGCATTTCAATGTCCCTAGCCTACAAAGCAAGCCAGCAGCTGCCTCCCTATCACATCGGTTCCAATTGGGAGTCGTTGTATGTCTCGTTCTGGTTTTCTTTCTGAGCCGATGCTACCTGTTGATTAGTTCAAGGGTTTCTAAAGCCTTCGACAAAAGGCGATTAGCATCGGGGGGCGGCACGTCAGGAGAGGGCAACAAAGAACGGGAAGGGGATGAGCAATGCGCGGGGCCTTCCGAACCGGTCGAAGATGACGAAACGCCATTGCTTGAGTCCATTGCTGAATTCCAGAGCACCCCACCTAAGTCTCAACAGAGCGGATTAGTGGGTTCTGTACAACAGCAAACACAAGTTGAATCATCGTATGGCGGACCACTGGGTGGGGACCCCATGAGTGAGCGTAGAGATGACGTGCGGAAAACCCGAGAAAAAGTGGGTAGGGCAGTTGATATTCTGACTAAAATGCTACAACAAGGAATGGATGCGCTGAATGAGAACTGGAGTTCGACTAATCCGCACTGGCCATTCTGCCTCATGGTGTTTGATGCTTTAGTGAACCAACAGAGTGTGGCTAGTAGTCTTTTTAATACGAATAATAGAAGATTTGGTACTCGAGAGCGCATTGTGTGGATAGGTAAATTGCGTAATGGGCATGAGGCAATAAGCGTCGCTTCGAGCGTTCTAAGTGCGTTTGCAGATGCGCATGGCCTCCCAGGTCCTCACCAAGGAACCCAACCCTCAGGACAAAATTTTAAACTTCATTGCGTTTTGTGCATCGGAGAGACCACTGCGAAACTCGAGGATGCCATGGAACAATACATGGGTAGCCCAGGGGTGGACAGTCTTGCCGCCCTTAATGCCGCAATGGTTGATGCTTCATTTTGGTTACGCGTATTCACCGAAATGATGTCGTGCAGTGGTTTAACATCGAGGCCTGGTTCAACACCAGTCGACCTTCTGGATGATGCGTTGAAAAATGTGGCGGATGCCTTACGCCATGCACATATGCAATCAATGAGGATGTTGAGCCAAATATAGTCCTCGTGGCAACGACGCTAAAATACATAAACTGCAGGCGTACCCGGTGATGGTCTGGCCCCTACTGTACTGCCCTAGACCCAATCGCAGCGGAATCAACAGTGGCATCAACAGCACCAGCAGCATCGGCAGTCGCAGCAGTTTCTGGATGAGTTGTGACGCATTACAGGACGCAGCCGCAGCCGAAAGCATATGAAGAGGCCTCTTAAGATCGTTGCCAGGCGTGGCCCTTTCTTTGAGCGGAGCAAAGCCTCCCTGCTCTTTTCGTTTTATTTTTGTGTCCTTAGTTTCCTCTGTCTCGCCATGTACGTAATGGAGGCGTTGGGTGCCAGCCCGTTGTACAGCATGCTGCTGTCAGCCTGTCAGGTTTCCTTATGGGATATCATATTTGCCTTCCTTGCTCGCCTACCCTTACGCAGACTGCAGGTGTTGGGTTTGGCCTGCGCCTCCATATGTAACGAGTAGTGTGCAGCCGAGAAGTTTGGAAATACCGCAGAGAGGATTATCAAGTTTGTGACAGGAGGGGCATTAAGTGCTCAGAACGACGCGAGAGAAAGAAGGAATTTCACTGATTCAGACTTTTTCGCGATTTCATGTATGTGTTGGAATAAGTGGTTAGCTGAACCGCAATAGTACGCTAACCGAGGCAGCGGGGACGGTTGGGTTGGAGGAGCTTGTCTTCATGGAATCCCGTCGCCTTCCCAGGGTGTGGACATTCACAGATACGAAGAAAGGACTTGCAGAGGGGCACCAAATCATGGTATATGCTTTGTTTTGTATGCTCTCCCGGAAGAGTCATGGGCATGCTCCCGCTGGATGTCTAGAGAGGGAATGTAGAGATTGTGGTTGCAAATGGCAGTCATGGTCTAAGTGTTGTATAGCAACGAAGCAATGGGGGCACAGCCATCACGTGCTGTCTTTGAATTGCAGCGTATCTCTGCATGGCAGAAACTTTGGGAGCGTCCCCGTTTATGATTTGAACAGGTTCATCTCTTTACTAGCCTTTTTATCTGTAATCGGCGTCTGCTAATCACGGGTCTATGGCGTTCGGTAGGAACCCCAGTATTGTGTCTTCTAGGGGGAACTGAGTTAGGGTGCATTATAGCGGCATCTGAGGAAAGTAGGCCTGTGGAAGCGCTAAGTCACCGCGTAGGTACAGTACATTGTCGTGCACGGGTTGTAGTGCTCAAGGCGGAGCAAGCCCATGCTACAGAAACATTCAGTGCAGACACGTCGTAAATGCTAGGGTTGTGTCAGCCACTGTTTTCATTGCCACGTAAAGTGATGAAGCGGGGCAAAGTCTTCACGAGTCGCCTCTCCCGAGTCTCAGCGGCAAGTGTAGCCTCTGGCGCGGAAGAAAAAAGCAGCTGTGGGGCTCTATGAGCTATTGTTCCATGAACTATTGGTTTGATGTTCTCAAATGCGACGGCACTCGGAGCGGAACGAATAACACTGGCCATCGGGTCCCTGGGAGACCTGGAGGGAACGTGAATGGGAGAGACGCATCCTGACGGGCATTTTCCGTTGTTGCAGCTCGCTAAGAAATGAAATGTATCGCACTGCAGTATTTCGCAACGAGAAGGTAAAGTGGATATATTTTCTCTTTCGTGGGAGTAATCTTTTAACCGACGTTCGTGGGCTCGCTGCGCAGGCAAGTCCCACATCGAGCGCCAGAAACCAACACTGACAGGCATGCCCTCGCTTTCGGGGGGATTTCGAAATGTTTCGCTTTTTAATCGCTGAAAGCGGTGAATTCCGCAATTTAGCTTGCTTGGCGATTCCTCTTTATGCCAATCGGCTCAGTGACTTGTTCTGTAGAGAGCTCCGTAAAGGGACTGAAATTGACCAATGTTCCTGCACTAGCTCTTCCTCCAAGCTCATTACAGGTTCGTGCCCACAGTTCATTCCGCACGGAATAAAAAGCACGGAAAAGCAGCCATGGTCAGTGCCAAGGCTGAATTAACTGCCTTGGAGAAACAGGGCGTTGGTTTCGCTGACCGTGCAGCGCAAGCAGGTTGGAAGGATGGCACGACTGCGGGGAGAAAAGGAACGGGACCCCAACTTACTCTGCACTTAATACTCGTGGCATCAGTCGGAATCGCAATGACATTTCTAATCATCACCTGTTTCCGCCTCACCAGCACTCAGCAAGCGGTTCAAACACGCTCGTGGGTGCGGCTGGCTTCGAGCAAGGAAGGTGGTGACGACGATGCCATGTGCCCTGGATGGCAGCCAACGGAGGAGACTGATCAAAGGCTGCCTCAAGCGGATGCACAAGAAGACCTGATGGCGACGGGGGAAGGTGCACAGGAGGGGCAGGGAGAGCCAACGGACGAGGTAGCGGGAGAAGAGGGGCAGCGCCAGCCGGAAGATTCTGTGGGGAGGGAAGAAGAGCGAGGGGAGAAGCAGTTTCAGGCTGATTCAGAGGGAGGGGCAGCGGAGCCGTACCAGCAGGGAACGCTGGTGGGAGGGGCAACACGGATGGGGGAGCAGCTCGAGGAACATTCATTGGGAGGGGCGGCAGGGGGAGAGGCGCCTCAGCAGCAGGAAGAGCTGATGGGAGGGTCGGCAAGGGGAGAGCTGCAGCAGCAGCCCGTAAATTCATTGGGAGGGGCAGCAGGGGGAAAGGAACCGCACCAGCACGAAAAGCCAATGGGCGTAGGACCAAGGCCTGGTGATATCCCAGAAGAAAAACGAAAGACAGAAATCTCAACTCCTGCCCCAGGTGAGCACTCAGGAGGAGCAACGGCCCCAGAAGTCTTGGAAGAGTCTACCTGTGGAGGATCTGGTGCGAGATCTCCGCATCATCCAAGGAAGAGAAAAAGGAAGACCAAGCATACGGAGACTGTGACACCACCTCCGTTGCCCACCTATAGGGGTCCCTATTCGGATGTCAATGCTCCCCGTGATTCCGATGAGGAGGATGACGACACTCCAACATATCGCTGGCCCACGGGTTCTTTTTATGACATTAAGGGCCCTAGGTTGGAAGTACCTCCTCCGCCAGCCAAACATGGGCGTATTTTGGGGCCGAAGAAGCCAGCCAAGGGTGATTCCCAGGGTGGCGCGAAGGATAAAGCCTTGGATAAAGCCAAGGGTGGCACTCAACCGGAGAGTCAGTCTGAAGACAAGAGGGCAAAGGACCAACGATCCAAAGTAGGCGCGCTAACGCAAATTGTTGGTGAATGTGTGAGCTATGCAGAGGAGTTGAGTTCAACTAAGGGTGCGAATCTGGGATCAGCCGCATGGCTTCTAAATGTAGTATCCAATTCGCTTACTGTGCAGATATGTGTCGCACGCCAAACCTCACAATCGGTAGAAACTGAGGAAGCTTGTAGGGTGGCGGAAGCTGCAGTTGATGCAGCACATGATTGGATTGTACGGCATGGTGGAACACCGGAGACGGCCCACCTTTCCGGGGAGGGTCCTGTCACGGAAGAATCGAGGGACTCCCTTTCCGTCCGACTGCTAGTGCTCCATTTGGCCAGCAACAGGCTCACTGAACAGTTACGGCATTGGAGGCCCGGTCCATCGGTGGATTATCTAAAGGAATGTGAAAAGCTTTTAAAGATGGCGGAAACGTTACTAGCGGGGACAGAGCAGATGCTTGGAGGCCTAATCAACGAAGGGCAGCATGCTGCTGCTGAAATTCTTACGCAAGCCTTGGAAGTTGTTGAAGACCTCACCGAGGAAATGCGTCTGGTGACGCGCAGTGGGGCTTCGAACCCATTTGCCGCTGAAGTCCCGAATGCCCCAGCCTTATCTGCGTTGACTAGCTTGGATGCGGCGACCACGGCGGCTGAGGCTTTGTTGGATAGTATGGCTGGCGGCGTAGACTTAAGCATACGGGCTATTGCAGGTGAGCAACTGGCTAGTTGGACGCATCTCTTGTCCTCAGTCGAGCTTCTCCTAGGAGGAGATGGCATAGATGGTTCTTTACTTCAGCGCTGCATTGATGCTGCCTGTCATTTGCGGGAAAGAGTGGAAATAATTCAAGCAGTTCTGTCCAGCACTAGCACGCGATGATTTCCTGTTTTGAGACTTAGGTGGCTGGAAAACCCGGAGAGGAATAGCATTTTCTCCTTCGAGAGAAAAGGGAATTCCGCACTATCCGCATGTGCGGCGTTTATCAATTTCTGCTGTCAGCATAAAGGCATTCCCCTTAATGGAGGGTAAAATCGTTTTCCCGCTTCCTCCACACGAGCCTTTTTATATAAGCGGAGGCTCGTCACAGAACCTATACTTTCACCAAGAAACAGCTTCTGTCGCAGAAGAACGAAGGTGTGCTGCAACGGCGGCAGCCACTCTTCTGCAGCCGCAGCAGGAATCTTTGACTGCTATGCTACTTAGCAACATATTGACGACTCCCGTAGGTGGCTGCATTCACGCTCTGCCTTTCTTGTCCTACGGCAAGGAAGCGTAACGGTATATCGGATTTGCGGATACACTAGGCCAGGTGCATGCACACGAACCTTAAGACATACGCAGAGTCGTGGTAATTTCACTTTTCAACTCATTAGTCACAGAGAAGTTAGTCCCATGCTTCATTTTAACTTGCTCTAAGCCTCTGAGCCGTCGTATTTAGCGTCGTAGGAGAGCAGTTGTTCTAGCATTCCAACTTGCTAAGCACCTCAGTTGCTACCATCGGCATCCTTTCTGCATGCATCAATTAACTCTCCTGCGAAATTCCAATCGATTTTCTGTGGCGTGCCCGGAATGCAGGTGGGGGTGTCACACTGCACTTGTCCGATTCATTAGGGCCGCAACTCTGTCGAGTATGCTTGCCCTGCTATTTTGCTTTTGTTCGTGTGAAGCTGGAAGATGCATGCTCCGGGTTGCTAGTAGCGACTTAGATAAGACCTTCAGATGGGGATCACATAAGAAACACAGGAGTCTTGACTGGTGTGGGTACAGCGGACTGCCGCATTCGGTTCACAAGCTTCCCCAGCAAATGTTTCTGCTGGAGCGCATCCAGTTTGGACTGAGCTTCCAATTGGGTTCGCGAAAAAGAGGGAGAGTGGTTCACCACCAGGGCGCGGAGGCGCGGCCGGTTGCCCCTGGGATGGGGAAGCCCGTTGGCTGTCCAGTGCACTCAGCACCGCTTGTACGGAGCGAATTCGTATGAGCATGTGCACCTACTCGTAGACCAGCACGCCACTGTTACAGGGTTATATCTAGGCTGAAGTGATTTAGCGGCTTGCCGGTGACGCTGCCATGCGGGTCCTCTAACGCAACATACCAAAACTGTACGCATAGCCCCAGTGCACTAGCATACCACTTGGACGCCTGCACAAAAGCGATTGATTTCGATAAGATAGGAAAGTTTCATCCTCGCGCCACTCTTTGGCTTCAGTCCATCTCTGGAGCGACGAATCTTCTCCCACTACCACTGTCCTGGAGTTCAGGCTGTTTTAACAGTGCCAGGGCAAGTGCTACGCCACCATTCCAAATGTTAGCGGGCCCAAAGTTATGCAGGGCACATGGGCTATTGGCGAAGCATGGCCATCTAGTGCTATGAGTCCACATGCGAGAGGTTCCCAACGCATCCACCTTGGAAGTCGATAATCACAATCGAGAGCAGCCATGCCCTGAGGTGGCCTGCCCACCTCAGGGGCAGGGCTGCTCCCGACGAAGCTGGTCGAACTTCATTGTTACACCAGCCACATTACACTGGCATCGGGGTCTGCCAACAAACAGAGCAAAACGCATCATGAGTACTGACGTTGCTCGCATCTGGACGCCCGCAACATCAGAACCAAAATTTACATCTGTATCGGAGAAGGCAGTAAATATACACTTACCGAATACGCGTGGGACAAAAGAACTTTGGCATACACAGGAGGGTGCTGAGATCATCGCTTCCGCCTAAAACCCTCTTGCAATTGAAGGGTAGACTTCTCATCGTCCCCCACATCTTGCGTATCGTGCTCTCAAGTACCTAATCAGTCGTATTCACCACTGGGCTAAGAGGTTCAGACAGCCCGTGCTTGCAGCTGCCAAAGTGACAGCCAAGCTTGATGAGTGCACTTCAAGACACGCGAAACGGTCGCTGTGAAGTGCACTGCGCCACTACACCTCTTCGATTTGCTGCCCCTGACTAGCAGTAGCAGGAAACGTTTGACTAGGGAATGACCCTTCGTCGCGGTCGCTGTTTTCTAAAGCCTCCCCGCACCGCCGACGCCGCTTTAGGTGGCGCTCGCTCCGAAGGTGCTCTTGCTGCTGAAGCAAGACTCCAGTGTCGACCCGATGAGACCCACGGCGAACTCCCCATAATCCGCCAGCCGCCGCCCTGCGCCCTGGCAGTGCAGCGGCAGTAGGGACAGTGGCAAAGCCATCTGCGAGCAAGCCCGAAGCTGGCTGTGCTGCTGCAGCAGCGGTTGTGGCCGCCTGTACGACCGAAGCATTGGTTGGCTCCGTTTGCGGCATTCGAGACTTCTGTGCTGCCGCTGCGGCGCCCTTGCTCACCCACCTCAGCCACTGACACGCCAGTGCATGTGCTCTCTGTTCCCCTAGAACTGTGCAGCAGAAGCGTTTTTGAAGGAGCCGCTGCCGCACAGAATCATAGGCGGTCGCAACATAACAGTCTGAGCTGCTCTCTAGGTACACCCGAGGAATAACAACAGTGCGGGCCTTCGCAGTGGGGGTCTCTGTTTTAGCTGCCGGCACTTTTGAGGCGCGGCTTTCTCGGGAGGTACCCAGGCAACCTGAAGACCTTCCATGAGCTGCCACCAACGTATGCGCTGAAGCCACGCGTTGTGCTGCTGTTTGTACTGCTCGTAGTGCTGCAACTCCTACGTCTGCTGGTACTGCCCATGATCCTGTGTCGACCAAGCTTACTGGTGCCGCTTCGCCTTGTCCAAGTTCAGCAAACCTCTGTGTTTCATATGGATGTGAAGCATCAGAAGGATCTTTGGCCCCTGTACCTGGAACAGGTTCTGTGTCCACTGCTGGAGAGGATGGAGTTGCCCCTGCTGACGCTGCCGCCGCTAATGATGATGAGCTTGCCGTAGTCGGACTCGAAAGAGAAAGAATCTTGCTGCCGTCAACAGGCGCCAACTGCAACGCAACTAAAGCAGAAGGCCTCTCAACTGAACCTCGCTGCTTCTGTTGCTGCTGCTGTCCCTGAACCGCAAGGTGCTGCTGTAGTTGTGTCAGCCGTTGCTGAATACGTGCAAGCGGCTGCATATAGCTAACACTGGAAGCGCTGCTGGGCCAACAACAGGAGGCCCCCATATATCGCATTATATCTGATGGGTTGTTGCTGCTGCGACTACTGCTGCGGGCACTTGGAGCTCTAGCAAAGTGATGGCCACTGCGTGTGCGCCTCAGAAGCGCTGTATTTCCTATGCTACTACTCTTGCTGTTGCTGTTAGGCGTCCATGCAGTAGTGGCAGCAACTGAATCACCGTCTGCCTCCCCAGAAGCAGCGGCAGCGTTCTCATCGTTCAACTTGCTCCGGCGTGAGTCTGCAACAGCTGCAGCAGCGAGTGCAGCCGCAACTGCCCCGACTCCTTCAGGCGTATCCTTCGCTGAATCTGCAGGCAGCAAGAGGTAGCGAAGAGGCGCTTTCGGCAAAGAAAATGACGCGAAGGGAAGCCCAGTTGCATTTCTCTGGTGCTGTAGACGCAGGTCTCCATACACTCGAGTGCAGCAACGACACCACTGAGTCCATCCCTCTAACCCCAGTGAAGCAGCGGCAGCCGCAGCTGCTGCCAAGGGACAGCCAGATTCGGCGCCTCCTCCCCTCAAAGTGCTGATAGCTGGGGGTCGCAAGGGGAGGCCGCAATAGCAGCAAAGGGGAACCTGACCTCCGTTACGTGTAGCGGCCCCGTACCCTCCAAAGCTACAGCTCGTGCTTCCTTCAGGCCATGGTGTTCCAGCAGTTGCTACCGCTGCTTCCGCTGCTTCTGCCATGTCCTCCTCTTCCCACGCAGCCTGTTGAGAGGCGAAAATTACAGACCGAGACGGAGACAAGGGGCGGATGCAACTCAGTGCAGAAGGCATCTCAAGCTCGTAAGGGGATTCAAACCAAGACGGGCAAACAAGTATCCCATCCCCGGATTTCCTGTCGGAGTGCGGCGCGGCAAAACCTGAACCAGATGAACACTGTTGTTGCAGCTGTTGTCGCTGATGCTTGTCCCCTTTTGCTGCTGCCGTCGCATACGCTTCAAGGACGCTACGCGAGCCGCTCCCGCCGCCTCCCCCGGATGTGCTACCGAATGCTCCCTCAGCAGCGCTAGCGTTGTTTGCCTTGCCACTGCAGCTGGCAATGCAAGAGACGCAGCTTGCACCGCAACAGCAACGGGGGCTGCTCCCTCGAATGTCGAGCCACTCTGCAAGACACTTCGTCCTGTCGTCAGCTTGGGGCCCCGTCTGTTGGTGCTGCTGCCCCACTGTATAGCTCTGCAACACCTGCCGATGCGGTTGCCGCATGCGTCTCCTCCCTCCAGAAGCAGCGGTAGGCCCCACAAAAGCGCCAGCAGCACCTGCCAGAGCAGCAGCTGGATTTCCAGGGACTGATCCGGTAGCCGCCGCTGCTGCACCTCCACCACCAAGAGACTCACCTGCTGTAGAGGCGCAGCCCGTTGGCCCTGTAACCTGCACCTTCCCTGAATTCGCTAGGAGGGCCTGGCGGAGAGACCGACGCGGCCCCCGGCAATCTAGGGATGCTGCAGGAGTCGCTGCAGCAGTGGAAGAGGACTCATGCACACCAGCTCGTGGCGTTGCAGCAGGCACTGCTCCTGCAGCGCCCGCATCCTCTGCGACACGGTGAAGCCCTCTGCCGAAAGAACCATCATCAGTTGAAGTCGCAGGTGTTGCAGCGGGACCAGCTTCCATACCTGGCCGCGCACAATTCTTAGCCCCCCGACCCCTGAACGAAGGAGGAACTTCACTACATAGTGCTGACTGGGGGCAGCTGGTACCATAGTTTCTGTTGCGGTGCGCTTCGCGGGCGTTTGCATGCGCTTCAGCTGTGTCGCGTTGTTGCTGCGTCACACTAACAGCAGCACAAGCCCTTGTACACTTTGTACGCGTCCCACACACGCGTGATGAGGGTGCACTTTGTCTGCCGACACTCTGCCGAGTTAACGATAGCCGTGCTGTTGCCTCGCGACCTGCCTGGGGGGAAAAAAATGCCCCAGTGCTATTTTCGCTGCTAGCCACGGTCTTGTCCAGTGAAGATGGCAGCAGCTGGGCTGGGCATGAGGATTTCGAAGAAATGGTTGAGACGGGCCCCTGAGCTGCTGAAGCAGCAGGTACATCCGCTGTGCCCAGGACTGGACGTGCCGAGTGACTGGATTCCTGCAATCCACTCAGGCTCACCGCATCTGGAGAGGAAGGGCCATCACTTGCTGCAGGAGCTGCCATGATAGGTTCGGATAGGAGGTCAACCGCTTTGCCAGGAAATCAGTAAGGCCATGCGGCGGGTGTCACTCGTCAGTGAAATTTGCGGGTGCCCGAATTGCCCCACAGCATCCCATGTTGTAGCTCGTTTCAGTATTCCCCAAGCAGAGTCTTCGGATGATCAGGAGAAGACCACACATGGGGACTGCAGCGCCGCCGCAGAAAAAAAAAAAACAGCCCTCACCAAAAATCGCTTCCTCCAACAGATGGAAGACAGCCAAGTCGTGGGCCAGTACTCCCCCTTCTGTTCAGCATGAACAGGAAAGTGGAGATGTGGAGGGCGCAAATGTTTTTAAATGATGAACACTGCGTGTAAGCGCCCTAAACCCACAGATCTGCGGCTGCTACACCTCGGGCCACGCAGCTGCAAGTGTAGCAAATAGTCAGGATAGTATCACCGTACTCGGGACCAAAAAATGAGTCGTTAGAGGCAACACAATCCGCAGAAAAGGAAAGAACCAGATTCACTTGAAAGAGTCCCTGACGCTCAGCAGTAGCCACAGCGACCAGTCACTGCACGCCGATTGCACCTGTCGAAACACAGTAGCGCCGTGTTCTGGTCCATGTGCAAGGAACTAACACGCATACAAGTGCATGCAGCCACTAATATTAACCGAAGGTCAGAAGGACAAGCTAAGCCAGTGCAGATCCGCCAAAATATTGGAAGAAGTGTTTTGTGCGACGCAGCTGCTGATTACGACTAATAGGCGCTGAGGGCGCCTGTACGCGATATTATTTGGTCTCCGTACAGATTGCGCTTCCGTAAGTTGATTATTCCAGTGTTGACGGGCTTTCCTTCCTCGTTCTGGATACTAGCATTCGGCCGCGATGCCAGTCGCCTCGCCCCGTGCTGCTTCATGGGTTCTATCCGTAGCGGCACCTTTTGTTAACACGCGACTCTAATATATTGACTTTTATTCGAAATTTTTCTCTGTATCAAATACCAGTTTTTTCACTTGGCCTATATTCGCCATTGATTGGTCACCCGCTTCGTTTTTACACCTCCCTTCCTTGACTACGTGACAACCAGTCTAGCAGTTCTAGTGCTCTGTCTGAAGTTGGCGCGTGTATTCCTACTTGCATGCACGCTATCTATTAAAGGCAAATTCAACGTTTTACAAGTGTCCACAGTGCTAAGCCCTTCAGCAAGCGGGCTCTATTGAGCTGGCGTGTGGGGTTGCCCTTCAGCAGGAGTTCCAGCGAGGGGTGATACAAAATAGTAAGAGGCGGCCTCTTCTTCGCAGCAGCATCAGGCATTTCTGTTGCTGCGGCTGAAACGCCTGAAGGCTGGGAAGGCGGTCAGTTGGTTGGGGGGAACTCTTAGCTTTCGTACTTTGGGCTAATTGCAGATCACGATGGTCATCGGCTAGTCGAGGAGCCTCGTTAGATTTTGTAACACCAGATTCATAGGACGGGACTAAATCTGGCTTAGGGGTGTTGTTGGCGAGCAGCGAACAACACCCCTACGTCTGGGAGAGTTACTGCATAACACTGATTGGTTGAAAGGAAAAATGGAACGAAACAATACATAATATTTCAGCCCGTGTGTCCTCTCGCATAATGAAGATATATCATGATCTGCCCTCGAGTGAGGGGGCAAACAAAGGGTAGGCGCCTCGTCGCATTGCAACGAGCGCAGTGTCCGGCGCTGTCTAGGTGAAAACTTCCCTATCGGGAAAAAACGGTCATGGAGAAAGCCACCGCCTTTTCCGACCTTTCAAATATAACGAGCGCCGTCATGCGAGGGGGGTGAGTTGCTTGCTATTCTGGAAATGTAATCTCTAGAATGTGCTCAAAGGGCTATGGCTGCTATTTGCATAATATTTCAGGGGGAGCGTGACAATGGTGGCAATATCTGAGCAAGGCTGCACCTTTTCTGGAGCGCATTCAGACTATGAAAGCTTCCCAACATGCGCTGTGGAGTAGGTTTATCCTCAACTTCGCAAGAGAGCAGGCTAGGACAAAACTGAACGAGCTTCAAGAGGGGGAGCTATCTATCGGTATATCTAGAAACATCAGCCGTTTGACTCAGAAATGTCACTTTTGGAGCGGAGACACTGCTTCGATGGCTCATAGCAGGGCTATCCTGTGGAGAAAGGCACCCGGTAACTGACTGGGCTGCAAGGATGGAAGACTGGAGTGGACGGCTTGAAGTAGGCGATATTCTATCATGGAGTGCTTAAGTGACACCGGGATTACTACTACTTCACCCTCTCTAGCTAAGATAGAAAAGATTCCTGAGTTGACCCAGATGTTGATCTAACGGTTATTGGGATTGTGAGCGCCAGATACGCAAAGGAAAAGATGAGAAAAAGAAGCCAATTTCAACCTCCAAATGCGGCACTCAGAAGTCTAGGAACACATACTGAGCAGCGTATCTGCTTCCTTTGCAGCAGCTAAGGTTGCAGTATTTGCATGCTAACTAAACGACGTACAGGGCTGGAGATGCAAGACGCTAAACAGCGCTGGCAAAGGGAAACGCGCTGGCTCCCACGCAGAGCGCGGCGCTGTGCTTGGGTCAAAAGAGGTTACTGCCGCTGCTACAAACCCATCCAGAGCCACTAGAAATGGTTAATATGAAGAATAGCATCTCAAAGTAAGGGGCGTCGGCGCTGTAGAGGAAATCCAGCGGATGATGGGAGCAGTGGCTGGTTCATCTTTGCTCTCTATTATAGTAAGTTGTTTGCCCTCATTGAGGAGGTGAGCTAGAGCAGCCTGCTCTTTCTTTGCAATGAATATTCCTGCACCTCGACTTTCTTTGCAGGATACTGAGGTTTCCTGCAGTTCGGAACAAAAGTTGGGGATGCTCTACGGAAGTGTTCCCTGCGGTACATTGTGTGTCCAGCGGATGGTCACCACGCCGGGAGCCCTATTCTATTTGTCGACAGTGAGAGCTTCTCCTCAAAGCGGGCCCACTTCTCCTACCCCTAGGGAGTTAAATGGATTGAAACTCTCATGTTTGCAGCATCTGTTAGACAGCCATGACGCCATACATGGGGGATGCAAACAATGTTGGTAGCTCCGAGAGATGCAGTCTCCCGTTGATAGACTTGAACACTCAGTCATGGCATGCACAGGTTGTAATCGTTGTTGATTTGTCGAGCGTGGAAGTCCCGCGCCATGGTAGTGTGGCCCATTTCCGTGCAATGCCAGAATATCATTGCCAGACAATGATCGAATATTATTACCTGAAGCCTACGCATGCACTTCTCGTGTTGGCCATCTGCAAAGCACGACGCAATGGACTACCAAAGGAGTATGCAGTTTGAACATTGAAATGCTTGCCATATGCGCACTGATGTTAATTTGCTGCACCGTCCCAGACTTCATAGAGCAGCTGCTCACATTCGGAAATATTTGCTCTCTTTCCCTTAAACAGCGTGAATAGTAGGCGATTATTTGGTGGGTTTTGGAGTCGTCATTTTGCTAAGACAGCTTCCCTCCAACAGTTGTGTCACTGGCATCGCTTGTCAGAAAGGAACGTTCGACGAACTCAGGAAGTGCGAGTACTGGAGAGGATTTCAGGCCTGTGGCTTCTGGCTGGTCCCTCTTGGGTGTGTCTAAGCAAGGTATATTTGAGTATGCTGGTTAAAGGGGCAGCGACACTACTGAATCTAAGAATGACGCTGCGTTAGTACAACGCGAAACTGAGGAACTTCTGAACGTCCGTGAAAATGTGCACGGCAGCCCCTTCCGAACTGCCAGTACGTCAGGTGTGGTTCGAATCCCGTCGAAGAGAGACGGAAACATGACAAGTCAAGTTTTCCAAGGAATGAGAACGCTACATGCATCGAAAAACCGCTGATTCTCACTTTGCAATTGCAGAACACGCCACAGGTGCTACAAGTGCATATCCCGGCTGAAAACAAGCACGTTTCTAGTGGTGAATAGCGCTGCATTCAACCTGCCTGCCAGTGGGGCCGCAATGGAGAGAATGGAGAAATAAGTTTAAAAGCAAATTAAAAATTATTATTGTGACGCCAAGGGCACAGCGCAGGAGCTGCCATGCTGACGGGCGGCAACGCCACTACCAGTCCGGTGGGGAAAAGTAAATGCAGTTTCACTGCTGAAGGAACTCGAGAAAGAGTTAATACGGTAACGTTCCTATAATATATTTAATTCTGTAGATACGGAGGAGAAGTATTACTTAGACTTGAGATTAACTGGCGTAAGAGACAAAAGAAGGTACCGAACAGGGTTAGGTTCACTACACCATCCATGTATGTACCCACCCATCACTCATTGATTGACCCAAAAGCGTCATGAACGACCTGTATTCGCAGCTTGCCACCTGGATGCATGGGGACAAGGGTCATACAGATGTACAAGGTGTGTGGGTGAGGCTGTGGAGCGCAGTGTCGTTCCTGTCCTTGGGGCGTACTGAGAAATGCAATCACGCGTTGACGGACTAAAATGATGAATGGATTACTGAACCATGCAACATCAAGACGTTGCTCAATCTGGTGCATCGGAAACTGTTCTTTGCTTTTGTTGAGGCGCTGTTGATGCAAATGGGTCGCTTCCCATCCTCCTCCACCAGAACCGGATTGTGGCCAATCGCGTTATTTGAATGCTGAACTTTGCCCTTTCTTTGCACTCCGTCTGTCTGCCGCTCGACTTTTTCTTCAAGATTCGGGCGTCACCTCTACCGTGGAACAAAGCTTGGGGCTGTTCAGGGGATGGTTCGATGCGGCGCATTGGGCGTCCAGCGGGAGGCCAGCTTGCTGGTAGCGTCTTTTCATTTATAACAGATGAAAACTTTTCCTTCAACTGGGTCAGCTCGGCTGTTGTTCGTGTGGTAGCTGGATCGAATCCGCCAAAAACCACAGTCTTTTTAAGACTAATGCGACAGTGGATGCATTGCTCCGTCCTATGTTGCAGCGCCTCTGCGCTGGGCCCTCCTTGCAAAGTCTTCTTTGGGATACTGACTCCACATTTCTTACGGCAGAGGATGTAAATGCCGT